ACCCTGAACCCCAAACCCAAAATGCAAGCCTCAGACGCCCTAAACCCTAAACCCTAAACCCAACATGCAAGCCTCAGAAGCCCTAAACCCTAAACCCTGAACCCCAAACCCAAAATGCAAGGCTGAGACCCCAAGCCCAAAGCCTAAACCCTGAAAAAACCCAACACCCGAAACACACTCAACCCGCGGCCCTGATCTCCAGATTTCTTTTTGAACCTTCCGACACGTTTAGGGTTTAGGGTTTCGAGTTTAGGGTTTAGGGTTTAGGGTTTAGGGGCTTAGGGGTTAGGGGTTTGGGGTTTAGGGATTAGAGTTTAGGGTTTAGGGTTTAGGGTTTAGGGTTTAGGGGTTTAGGGGTTCAGGGTTTAGGGTGCAGAATATTAAAAAGAACCAAAGAATAGTCCAACGACCCTCAGTCCTAAAAGCCATAAGACCCCGACACCCTCAAGTCCTTCATATAAATACCCCTAAGCCCCAAACCCCAAACCCTTTACCCAAAAGCCCTAAACCAAGCTCTAAGTCCCTAACCCAAAACCCCAAAACCCTAAACCAGGCCCCAAGCCCCAAAGCCTACAAACCCTAAACCCTAAACCTCAAACTTCAAGCCCAATATAAACCCCTAAGCCCTAAGCCCCAAAGCCTAAAAGCCCAAGCCTTCATCTCATCGGACAGCTTGTTGGCCAAGCGGAGCCGTCGCTCCTCATTCCAACAGGGTCCCACGAACAAAAGAAGATGTGACTCGGGGTTGCATCAGAAGTCTTTTAGGGCTTTGGGTTTAGGGTTTAAGGGTTTAAGGTTTAAGGGTTTAGGGTTTAGGGCTTAGGGGTTTAAGGGTTTAGGGCTTAGGGCGCTTTTAGGGTTTTGGGTTTGGGGCCCGCAAAACCCCAAAACCCAAATTCAAAAATACATGCATTAGGGGTTTTCAAGCCTGAGCCGGGGTTTGGCATGAGGCTCCGTACTGTGGATGATAGAAATCCTACATGGCCTTAAGGACGCTAAACTATGGGAATTCTGGTATATTCCTTTTTATGGGTCCCTAGCCCCTGGATAGATGGGTATGACCCAAGAAAAGGCACCCCTAATCTCAAGAAGCAGCCTTGTATAATCCTTACAAGCCCGCGTAGAAGCTGTAGAACCTCGTAAAGCCCTCATCGAAACTTCGCACGACGTCCGAATCTCAAGACATCGGTATTGAGCCGGGTAAACCTAAACCCTAAACCCTAAACCCTAAACCCTAAACCCAAAACCCTAAACCCTAAACCAGGATTGGGGCCTGTAGCTGTGCCTGCTGCTGTGCCTGCAGGGCAGCGACCTGTTCCCAAGAATTCGAGGTTCGACTTCTCAAAGGGGTGGAGAGTGTAGGATATCATCTCTTTAAAGTATCAAACAGTATCTTGCAGCATCTTATAGTAGTATCTTATCATCGTACCTTGTAGTACCTCGTAGGACATTATAGTATCTTGTATCTGATATTATGCTAAGGGCTTTACAAGGATTCCATAACGGGCTATACGAGGGCTCTTCGAAGGTTCTGTTTGAGGGATTAGGCTTAGGGCGTTTGGAATTGAGGGCTCGGGCTTCTGGGCGATTGTTTGCCGGAACAAGTTTTTGCTCAACTTGCACCTGGCTAACACCAACAAACTAAAGAACGAACGACCAAGCAGCAAAAAACAAACTAGCACCCTGGACTGGCAAACTAGCATAATGCGCCACCCGGCAAACTAACGAGCGGAGTAGCGAAGCTTAACAAACAAACGAACAAACAAGCTAGCAAACAAACAAGCAAACAAATAAGCAAAGGAACGACCAAATTAACGAACACACGACCAAACACATGGACGGACGAACTAACTAACTAACTGACTAACTGACTAACTGACTAACTAACTAACTAACTAACTAAATAAATAACTAACTAACTAACTAA